AAAATTAAAGATTTTTCGGTCAAAATTTGGTAATTCTCCCTTATGAACGATATACCAGCTACGTAAATAAATTTACTTTTTCAATTGTATCCGAAAATCAATCTATAATCTTTGTGACTATCCTTATCAGTTCCTATTGGCCTTCCATATATATATATCTTGCAATAAATAGCAAAATCTATAGTTTTTGTTATATTAATTCATTTAACATCAAGTAAAAAGTAACGAAATACTGTATACTGTGTAAAATATGTGTGTATTAAATGTGTGTTATATGTGTATTAAAATTCACACGGCATGTGTTGTATCTATATTTTCATGTAAATAAAGCTTGCAACTGCAGAATTGAAGGCATAATTTGTGCTTACATACACACAATAGTAAAAATTTAAGCATATGTAATGCTGCATGAATAAAATTAAAATTATACTGTTAGAATAATTTTATTGCCAAATTTGTATTAATGGACATTCTGACACACATTTCTGTTAGATTTCAAAAAGAAGTAAATTTGATGTTGACTTTCATCCTTTCCATTGCTCTTGATGACTTCCTTCAGCAACGACATTTTTGACACCAAGAAGTATGAAAGGATTTTCGATATTTGATGAGTCCAAAATGGAGTGTAGCCTGATCTAATGATTTCGATATGATAAAAAAAGCAGATAAAATGTATTGATTGAATGATTTAAAAGAATAAACTTTAAATTAATCAATCACAAAATGTGCACACTCTATCAGTAACCAGGATTATCACTTTCTTTATTCATTTGCAAAATATTTCTGTGTGAAATGCTTCTGATAGCTCAATTTTCGTTCCACTCATGGAGAAATCGCAGGGTGATTAATTAATCAATATATAAATGTTGTATTCATTTATTTATTAGTTAGTGTTGTTCATCCAATATTTTCAAGACTGATCAATTTTCCTTTGTTAACGGGAATTTTAAGCCCGAACTCCAATGATACAAGGAGGCTTGTAACTGTAATTCACTTTCAGTAAGCATTACGCAAATGAATTACAATTATACCAAATGGTTGAGTTGCACCAAAGGATGCTTCTGCGATTTTTTTTTTCTATTCATATAAAATGCTTTAATCGAAAAAAAAACCATAGGTAAATTTGATTGACAATATCTCACTTAATTTTCCATAATCAATTCAGTATTGTCATGAAAAAATGATGAACAAACAGATCAAAAAAAGTTACATTTTTATTTAAATAATTTATAAAAATCATGACAATATATTGTTAATCGAAAAAATTATCCAAATTTCTTCAGAATTTCCACGCATAATCAACAAGTTTGAAATTAATTTTTTAAAATAAAGTTAGGGATATTAAGGAATTTAAATTCAAAAATTACATTTAAGATAATTTTTCAATGAAATTTGAACTTTTTGATTATTCTATGGGATGAAAATACTTTTGATACATCGCCAAAATTTTATTATTATTATTTCCTAAATAAATATTGGACACAAAAATTCTGTTGTTCTTCAAACAGGCGTGCTCAGTTTAACTAATTTCTAATTATCCACCGATTGTCACTGATTATTCCTCAACAAATTAAGCGACAGATAATTAGTGTTGGAGAAATGTTTATTTGTTGAAATATTTTTCAGATATGCAAATTTTTGCGATTTATGTTTCCATTACTCTTTTAAGGTTTACAGAGGTCAATTTCAACATATCCTTCAATTACAATAAATTGCGCTTATCAGATCGCCCATTATGATATATGAGGTGATCGGTTGGAAAAAGCCAAACTTCAATGTGGAAATAAATGTTAAAATTTTCATCAATCCTTCCATTGTTGTTCAATATAAAAAAATTATTGCGTCAAAGATCAAATAAAAAATAAAATAAAAACAAAAATAAAAATGAAAAAATAAATCGATCACAAGCACGGGAAGGATTAAATTCATGCAAATAATGTTATTGATAATAAATTATTATCACATGAAATAAATAAATTTTACATTGTCGCAAATAAACAAATAAAATACATATCGTTTTGTTTTTCCACTTCAAATATATTTTTGCAGCTGTTCTTTAAACCTTTTAAATAGCTATAAAAGCAATATGATTATGTATCATAGCAATTGTACCCTTCTGGATCAGTTGAATTTTTACCTTGTCACTTTTCTTTTCTCTTTAACAACAAGCAGTTGTGGGATTTGTACAAAAATTCATATAAGTTTACTGTATCATTTTCATTTTATAACTAGCATTTAATTATTTCATTAATAGAACTCGCCGATGCTGACAACCTAAAATTGAAATAACTTCACGTTTAATGCTATTAATTGATAATTTTAGAAGCGAAAATGGAAGTGCCAGTAATGAAGAATAATTTGACCAAGGAATTGGTGTTATTCACATTGTACGCTACGATATCTCCAACATTTGGATTAAACTGCGAGGCTTGGACGGAAGATGATTACCCTCCATTTATACCAGAAGCGGAAGAAGCTCGAGAAGAATATTGTGGTCTCGTTGATAATCCGGAATTGTCCAGAAATGAATTAAACGATATGATCAAAAAATGGGGAGCAAAATATGGAGTTTTGGTCAGTATTGGATAAGTTAATCTTTACGGGCTACTTTGTTTTATTTACTTTTTTTTCTAGTTAAAATGAAGTGAAGGAATGACTGCTTTGGGTAATATTCCATGATGATTACATTAATTACTCCATGAAGAGAAATCATGAAAAGTGCTCATGTCACATTGTGACAACCTTACTATAATGATTAGCTAACAAATCGCTTAACATTTACATAAGGTGAAAGAAATCAATTATCTGGTTCATTTTTCGAAATAGTATCCATTGATGGTGGTAAAGAGAATTGAAACGGAATAGATATAATTTGG